CCTCTGTCTGTGAGCAAGGCCCCCCTGGGTGGAGATGAGTCTCGCCACACCTGTGGAATCCCCACCTCACAGGCGTTCAAGAAATGTCGGCTGCCCCCCTGGTCGCCACAGCACTCAGGGTGTCACCATGACGCTGAGCCAGCACAGCTGTGGAATTGCAAAGCTACCGTCACCTTATTTGTGTCTTCCACGGGTCCTTGAAATCTCTTCTGCTGCCCACCCTCGGGCGGTGGGATGGAAACCCGGGGGGCCCAGGAAGCTGCTTGGTGGGGAGATGCCACGGTTCTCCATCACTTCACCTGGCGGTAGGGTGGCGCCCGTGGTCGGCAGGTGGCGGGGGCTGTGACTGGGCAGGAACAGGAGCCGGCCTGGAAACGCGCTCTGGTTTGGGAGGTTTAACGCTGTACCTGTCCTCCTGCAGGCAACTCCATGGGGCCCCAGAGCCAGGCCACCCCCCTGACTGGGCTCTCATGTGGGCCCCAGGGGGCTCTCGGTGGCAGCTCACATTCCTGTCCCTGGTCGGTTCACTCCTCAGGCAGCCTCCTGGGACCTGGCCTGAGAGCCCACACTGACCCCCTCGCACGGTCCTTCACCTGGGCCAGCAGGCCTCTCTTTGGCTCTGCGGGCAAAGCAGCCAGCCTGTCTTCTGCTCTCTAGAGTGTGCAGGTGGAGGTGAGACATCAGTCCACTGGATTTCCCAAATTGCAGGGGACACTGTGAAGCTCTCTCTGAAGCTTGAAGCGAAGGGTGGGCATCCCACACCCTCCTCGGACTTAGTTCACCTCAACATCTCCCTGGTCTAACCTCAGCAATGGACTCTTGGGTGTCCTCAGTGTGGTGAGGGTTCGGGTCACCGAAATTCTGCATCACTCGTGGGCGGAGGTCAGGGCTGGGGTGGGGTCATCTCTGCACACGCCCCACTTTCCTCTCGGGTACAGCAGTGTTTGGTCAGCATTTGCAAGCTGGGGGAGTGTGACTGCTCACTGCTCCAGGAGCGGCACAGTCAGGAAGTTCACGGAAGGATGGGGGACCAGGAGGAAGAGGCTTCAATCCGGTAGCACATGGTATGTGGGCCAGGCTGGCCACCGACCTCCCAGTTCAGTCCGTGGAGTTTAGGCCTGGGCAGACTGAGCACTAGGAGAGAAAAGCAGGTCCTGACTCTGGGAGGGTGGAGAAGAGGGACACTGGCCACGGTCCCCCGGAGCCGGGCCTCAGGTTGACCCCAGAGAATTCAGATACTGCCTGAAATGCCACCATCAGTTGATGCCTTGGGTTAAGCTGTGCCCCCTCTACTCAGCTCATCCCGTCTCCCTGCCTTAGTTTTCTCACCCATAAATAGGTCAATAACTGCCTGCATCTGAGTCGATTCATGTGAAGTGCTTAGCACACTTCCTAGTTCATACTCAGAAACTCAGTACATGTTAACTCTCTTTGTCCCCTCAGGTAGCCTGGGCTGGCCCCTAGCCATGTGGCCCGTCCTTTGCACACTGGAGCCAGCTGAAACTGTCCTGGCCAGCCACCTGGGACCTCAGACGGCCTGGCCCATGTGGCATTTCTTTGGCAGAATCTGGCACTCGTGGCCCACGGGGCCTGTGCTCTGGGATGGCCAGGCTGGAGCATCTGGCAGAACTCCCAGGGCCTCCCATCTGTCATCCCTGCTGCCACAGGGACAGCAAGGACACTTGGATCAAATCTCCTTGGAGACAGGGCCTCCCTCCCACACACACCCTTGGGGAATGGGGACCGGCAGCATGCCCAGAAGGAAACCTCCAGGGCCACCAGGATCAGGGGACCTGAACCCAAAGTCTGGCTTTAACTTGTGAGACCTTGAGTCAGCCACATAGCTTTCCAGAGCTTCATTTGCTCAACAGTGAAACAAGGATGAAAGTCCCCATTGCCTTCAGGGAACATCGTGAAAAGTGAGAATGAGACCACAAAGGGGCTTTGTTTCACACGTAAAGTAGGATTAGCATTTTGGGATCCCAGCATTTTAAAACTGGGAGAATATGTAATATATTGTTCTCTGTGGCTATTTTGGTCTCTCTGTCACCTGCTGAGTGCCACCCCCGTCCCCAGTTACCAGAGCCTACAGTGATATTCTCCAAACTAATCTCCTTTGGACAGTCAGTGTTCAATTGGCTGGGCCCAGGTTTCTGGATTCTAAATTCAAATGCAGCCTTTCCCAAGTCGTGGCGGGGGGCGGCGGGAATCAGTTAATTTTGCAGAACTACTACTTCTGATCAGGGTGAACTAGGTCATTTGGCCTGAATTCTCAACTAAAGACAACTTAAAATCTACTCAAAATATATTTTTTCTAAAAAAAAAGTTTGATTGGGGGTATCAGAGAACAAACAAGGGAGTAAAGAATCAGAGACAAGATCTGGGAAAAGAAGGAAACCCAGAGACACGTGGCTTTGGGGCTCCTTCCTCCTTGGGAGGACCACTGACCCCAGAAGACACTCCAAAGGTGCTGAGCAGAGCTGTTAGCCTCTGGGACTAAGGAGGTAAAAACTAGGCCCACCAAGAGGAGGGGGTGCCTGGCAAATCTTTCATGCTTTGGGTTGGGACCCCAGGGGAATTCACCCCCAGAAAACAAATGAGCCGGAACTAGACCAGCACTCCAAGGGACTGCAAATCATCTCAGTCCTGAAAGTAGATTAAAACAACCGTGGTTTGCTAAATCCCAAGCCGTCCGCCAGATGTAAACGTAACCCTCATGGAGGTAGACTAACTTCATTCTATGCCTCAGATTCTTTCTACAGGTTTTCCGATAGAATGGGTGGCGTTCAGTCGAAAATCGCCACGTATGTGAGGAGACAGACAAAACTAACAAAAACCAAGGGAAACAACAGACGCTAGAAATAGACTCAAAGAGGATCCGTATCAGGGAGTTATTAAAATAACTATGTGCAGCATGCCCACATATGTGAAGGACAAGGTAGAGAGCTTTGCTGGAGAACCAGAAATGATTTTTAATCGTCCTCTTTCTATTTTTATCCCATCAACTTCATTCTTAACATGCAGGGTGCCACGGTTCCCCTGCAGAGGCCAACGGATGAGAGACAAGGCAAAGAAGCTTCGGGGAAAAGCCAAAAAGAAGCAACTGTGCTACATTCAAGGATGCCTGTCTGGAGTGTGCTTGCAATAATGACAGCGCGTTGTGCATGCACCGTCCTACTTTCTAGTAGCAAATCCATTGCTGCTCTGTAAGATGCAATTGAACATAGACACCCTCCAAAACTCAGCAGACTACAATCTTAAGGGGCTTTGCGCCTTTGAACAGGGACCCATCTCCCTCCTCCCTTGTACCTGCCAAGACCCAGCTCGGCCCCTGGCCCAGAACAGTCATGGCAAAAAAAAAAAAAAAAAAAAAAAAAAAAAAAAGCAAAGCAGCATTTGAGCACTTGTTTTGTGGCAGACTCCTGCTAAGGGCTTTCCATGCAATGTCACAGCTCTAGGAGCTGGTTGTGACTACTCTATCCATTTTGCAAATGGAGAAGCTGAGGTCTAGGGAACACACATAACATGTTCAAGGTGTCCTGGCCACCTAGCGTTAAAGCCAGGATGTGCGCCCAGGTCTGCCTGCTCCCAGAGTGGGTCCCACTCCCCACCTGCTGATTGCTGGGGTGATCCTGGATGTCTATGGTCAGAGGAGGCCTTAGTTTCTCCTCTCCAAAAAAACTCGCCAAACACCAGGCTGTAGCCTGGGAAAGCTGGTGTTAAAGATCCAAGGCCAAGGCTTAGGAAGTGAGAACACTTCCATGGATCCGAGGTTCTGTCCATCTCTTCTCTCTCCTCCTCCCTTTCCCTGTTTCTAGAACTCAGCATCCAGCATGCAGAGAGGGCACAGGGATGGACTAGGGATAACCCTAGGCCACATGCATAGGATAGAAGGAGTAAGGGCCACAGGGAAAAATCCTGTTGTGGTCACCAGATCTCTTCCGGGAAAGCTGGGTGGGGACTGTCGAAGAGGCTGCTTTCTGGGGTCCCAAGTCCCTTCCTAGAAAACCAGTGCTCGGAGAGGAACTGCAGGACAAATAGCACTATTTCCAACCTAGGGTACGGGCAAGGGGCTCAGCCTTCAAACAGACCTCCTTCGCCCCACTGGGGGGCCAGAAATCCAGGTCAGGACCTATGGAGGGTCCAGGTCCCTAGAAGTGGAGGGCTCGAGAGCTGTGAGGCAGAGCCCTGGTGGCCCCTGGCCTACTTGGTGGCTTTACCTGATTAGTTTGGTTGGGCAGGAGGGGGTCCCTGGGTACCAGCAAGGTAGCGGGATAAGGTAGAGAGGGGACAAAGTGGGGAAAAGGGCTTCCCTGGGGAGAGGACATAAGGGCTGGAGCAGAGTGAAGCTGGGACAGGTGGGCGGGTCAGATGAGGAAAAGGAGCAGGAGCTTAGAGAGGAGTGGACAGGGGGCGGGGCAGATGGTGACAGAATGGGGTTGGGCGGGGCCTCGTCATCTCACCCCGGGGGCTGAGGAAGGGGTTCCAATAGATGGAGAACAGGCTCTTCCTGGTGCTAATATATTGCAGCGAGGAGGGTAAGGGACCGACACCTGGAAGAACCTGTTGGCTCCTGTAGCTCACCAAAAGTCACGTGTACATTTGAGAATGAAAAAAGGGGTCCATGAGCAGCAAGGGGGTGGGAAAGAAATGGGCAAAATGGGGTCAGGTAACTGGAGTTGAGGGACAATCCAGGCCTGATGCCAGTCTGGGCTCAGAGCAAGAGCAACGGCGTCCTCTGGTCCAGTCCGAGTCAAAGGGGAGGGAGGCAGGCGGCATCAGGCATCACCGAGCAGCCAGCAAACATCCCTGTTATGGATTAAGAGCCAAACGGGTGAGGCGGGGGCGGGGGGCAGGGCTCAGGCTGGGTGGGCCAGATCCAACACTCGGACCCTGTCAAGTCCCAGAACATTCCCTCCCTCCTGGGCCCTAGAGACCCCGAGTCCCACACCCTTCCTTTCCCTTCCTCCCCCCACTCCTGGCACTCACCTACTGGGGTCCTACAGCCTCAGGGAGGTGACCCGGGGGATGCGGAAGAGCTGAGTCTCCTCAGAACTGGTGGAGCTGTGACGTCGCAGAAAGAGTGAGTGAGCACCCAGGCACAGACCCTTGGCCCTGACGCAGGGACAAGCCCAGAGCCCTGATTTTCCGGTTGCAGAAGCTCTCCAGGGGGTAGGAAGAGTTCCTAAAAGCAGAGGCTGGGTAGATGTGTTTGCAACAAGAAGGATGTGGGCAGACATACGAAAGAACTTTCTGGACCTGGAGTGCCTCAGAGGGTGTGACTCTTCAGGGCTAGGCATGAGCCTCCTCAGCCTGGGAGGCCTCAGGAGGGGGTGTGCCGGGGGGTAGAACCCAGCAACTAGAAGGACGCCTTCCTGGACCCCTGATGTCCCCTCCTCAGTCCTGGCAGCCTCCTCACCTGAGGCGTTTCCAAATGGGACGAAAGTATTTGGAGGTCTTGACGGCAAAGATGATGCTGGGGATCAGGAAGAAGGTGCACCATGCCAGGCAGAACCAGAAGGCATTCTAGAACAGAGGCTGTGAGGTCAGCTTGCTGTGGCTCGGCAGCAAAGTCTTCCCACCCTGCTCTGTACCCTTAGTCCTCCCATTGACTCCATGAGGGGTGCGGGCTGAGGGGAAGGGCTGGTGGGCAGGCCTGGAGGCAAGAGTCCTGCTTCACCTCGTGCCCTGCTCACGCCGCCCCTCCGATTGGGGCCTCCACGTCCACGAGCCCTGATGAGCTTGAGGCACTCACCCAGGGGTCAGCGATCATGTCACACAGGATCACACGGCCATTGTCCAGGGCTCGGGAGAGAGGCTGGCAGGTGGCAATGTGCTGAGTCACCTGTGGGGTCAACATGAGGCAGGTACATGCAGAGACACTCAGACCCACAGGTATACACCCCATATTCAGAGAAAGAGGTTGACAGGAACAGAGTTAGGTCCAGGGACCCCGTAGGGAGCCACTGCACAGTTTGTACGGACACATGGATGCAGGGACATAGAGATGAGGACACATTGACATAGGCTCATTGCTCCACTCTTATCTTTTCCGTCCCATTCACCAGCCTCTGTTAAGCCCCTACTGTGTGCCCGGCACTGTGCACACACACACACTCACTGCATACATGTGCACATACACACACACGTACTCAGGGTTGAACAAGACCCCACCTGCCTAGTGTGGGTGCCAGATAGCTTGCAGAGGCTGTGGTCAGCCCAGGCCTGCAGGAGGAGGTGCACTTGGAGAGCTGGACAAAGGGACCGGCATGAGGAAGGGTATGGTGACAAGGTGTGGAGGGCATGTTCTAGAGAGCCAGGGCCAGCCCAGCTCACACTCAGGCCTCAGAGAGGGGCTGTGGCAGAGGCTGAGTGAACAGAACCCAGCCAGGAAGCAGGGGTGCAGATCTGGGAGTTTGGGCTCAATGCTGAAGGCCTAGGGCACCCCGAGGGGCTCTCGGGGCAGAGGAGGGATGTAACAGTGTGAAGAGCCGGTGGTGCTGGGAACCTGCTTGAGGCCAGGAGAGCTTGAGCCCCCACTCACCTCCTCTCTTACCCAGGCCACGTACTGGGAGAAGTAACCCATCTCTCGGGTCAGGAAACACTCACTTTCCTGCAGGACAGAGAGGAGTCCAGGACTGGCAGGTATTCCAGGAACCAGCAACCCCGCGCCCCATGCCGGACAGGGCAGGCCGAGCTGGCTTTCCTGGGAGCCACGGTGAGGGGACAGGGATGGAGAAGAAGCTCCGTGTGCCTGAGTGCCTCAGCCCATCTCTGACTAGGAAGCAGCCCCCCTGCCTCT